CCTACTCAGTGCCACCTGGTTCTCATCTCCTGAGGTAACTATGGAGATCTATTGTCATCATGAGAGGTCGACCTAGAGCTGTATTTTATACACTATGATCCCAACCCAGTAATGGATCACTTCAGTAGATGCTGACCCTCATTTATTTATTTGCCTACCTATCTATTTGTTTTAAGAAAGCATTCCATTTCTACCCATTGCTTCAAATAATAGTGGTTCATTTTTTTAAAAAAATATGTCTTTATTGATTATATAGAGACAGGAAGGGGGAGGGAGAGAGAGGGAAATATCGTCTGCCTCCTGCATGCCCCCGCTAGGGATTGAGCTACGGCCCTGGCATAGGCCCTGACCTGGAGTGGAACCAACAACCTCTCGGTGCTCGTGAAGACACTCAACCAACTGAGCCACATGGGCTGAGGCCAGACCAGCATTTATTTTTTAATGTCATTAAACAAAATTTAAAAACATAAAAAGATCAGAACAGAGCACATGCAGCCAGGGTAAACATTGCTTCTCAGCCTGTTTCAGTTTTACCTGAGTCCGAGTGTAAAGTGTGACTTTATTCTTCTTACCGTGGAGCAATGTTCACAACAATCTGAAAGCCACCAACCTGGCAGACCCGCCCAGCTGGAAATTATAAAGGTGCTCCACCCGGAGCCGGCTGCCCTTCCTTCCCATGAGTCGCTCAGGGACTCAGCAGCCTAGTCTGCGAGTCCCTATAAAGCAGATGTCAGATCCAGTCTCTCATCTCTTCACAGCCCTGCAGGGACTCCCATCCTACTAGGAGTAAAAGTCAGGAGACAACATATATTTCTATTTGTTTGTTGTATTAGCATCCTAACAACCTCCAAAATCAAATTTGGTCAAATTTGAGGCCGATCTCACTGAGAATGTGGGTTGTGATGGGCCTCAGGGGGCGTCACAGAGATGCCCTGCATCCTTCAAAGCAGCTGAAAACAAGAGTGGATATTCACAGTCAGGGCCTGTCTATAGGATGATCTACCTCAAAATGTAATTCACAGGGCAACCATACAATTCCTTTTGGAGAATCCTGGGGATACCACAGGAGACAGACATTTTCCTGAACAGCTTGCCCAGAGATGGAGAGACTAGAGCAGCTTGCTGCTGGGTCCCAGAGAAGATGCCCAGGACAAAGAAACAAGCAGGCATCCAACCACGTGCCCGCAACCTACAGGTCTGCAGCAAAACGAGTCACTTCTCACAGGAGAAGTTCCTCTGGCCTTGGTCCAAAGTGAGCAGCAGCAGGGACTCAGTCACAATCATGAAACATTAAGGCCAATTCCCCTGGCTCAGAAATCGCGGCAGCACTCAGCAAGAGAGTGGAGGATGGTGCCACACCCTCTCCCCTCTTACCCTCTCCATCTCTCTCCACTCTCCTCCGGAGCTCTCGGCTCCTAAATGTGGCCATTTTTTGCTTGCAGGCCCATGTGGGGCTCCAAACAGGATGCATCATGGTATCCCCCATGAGGGCAGGGGTAACCTGACTCTGAGGTGGCAGCTCCTGGAAATCAGGGTGTAAAACTGTGGTGTGTTGATTTCCTTGTTGACTTGGTTACTGTCTGCTTGTTAGATATGTAAACTCTTGTGAACAACGATCTTATCTGCCTTGTTGTCTACCAGATTCTCAATGACAAGGACAGCATCTGACACTCAGTAGGCACCAGTGAACATATCCTAAATGAATGAACACATGGTAGACAACAGAGTGGAAGCTGTGGTAGCCAGTAGGCTCTCAAAGCACAAGAGTCTTCAAGCAGATTCTGACGGTGAGTTTGCACACCTCTGCACCTGGGAGGCATCCCTGAGTGTGCCCCCTCTGGTGACTGGCCAGTTTGACATGCCTATGGCATAACTGTCCCTCTGTGTGTGTACCAGGCAGAAGGAAGTACACAAGCAAAAGAACCAAGGCTTGCAGGGGGACAGTTCACAGCAATGATCAGGAATGACCAAGGTGCAACCTAAGAGATCAGGGGCCTGGGAGGGCATGGCTGGAGCTTCAGATTGGACAGGCAAGGTCCATTCTGTAGGTAACTGGGGATTCCTTGGCAATTTGAAAGCAGAGACATGGCATGATCAGGCAAATCTGAGAGCAACATGAAAGAAGGATCAGAGAAGACAAGGTTCTGTTATTATAAAGCTATAACACATGTTCAGATTCTGAGATAATGGGGGCCAACAAGTGAATAGGATGTCTTGTGGGATCATTAAAGGAGGTGACCAGTTGGAAATATGGGTGTGGATGTTAGATTTCAAGGCTGTGTATTCCAACATTACAGTCCTGTGGGTCCCAATGAAGTCATGGAAGAAAATAAAAGCACCTAATTTGAGCAAAATAAAAGTCTATGCATATCAGTTGAGAATGCCTGATTGAAAAGCAAAAGAATGACAGAGAGTCCCACAGATTGAGCTCACCCAAGGGGCAGGCAGAGGAAGAGAGTGGTCCCCAACCTTTCTCAACTGCTACAGACATTGACTACTGCTCATCCAAGAGGTTAGAGAAGCAGAAGAGAGGGTAAGAGAGGAGAACAAGAGAAAAGAACTTTGTGCTTCAGGTCAGAGGCACCTCAGACAATACCAGGGAGACTAACCTCATGGCGAAGATGAAGAAAGATGGAGAGCTAACTTCTAGGTTTTTAGACGTCTGAAAAGACAAATTGCTCAAATAGGAGCAGCCAGGAGGCCTCATCAAAGAGCTCAGGTGGGCCGAGAAACAGAATCAGGTGCAACTAGAGTGCAGAGCTCTCTGGAAGCTGGAGAGGAGGAAACTTCAGGCCAGAATCAGGCCTTGTTCGTTACAGAATTCAGCGAGGCTTGTTTCTGAATGAACTAATAATTTCTATACTTATACACATATTGAACTGCAGGCGTACAGGTGTGTGCAACTGCCTACATGTGTGCTTAGTACTGTGTATGCACCAAATAGCCTATCTAGCTACATATACATACATTTACATACAGTTATGCATTTACATAAAAGTATATATTTACCATTTGTGTACAGATATACGCATATCCTATCTAATAATAGACAAACATGGTAATTGACCATATCTTCACTATGCCTCCCATTGGCTAATCAGCACGATATGCAAATTAACGACCAACAAAAGTGGCAGCTAATTGCATACTGCAGGAAGGGCGGGCCAGCGCAAGCCACCATCCGGGCCCGTTTGCCGCCTAAGCCCCGCCTCCAGCCGGGACCCCTGTGTGAGGCCCTGGGCAGTGGGGCTTGGCTGCACGATCAGCCCGAGGAAGCCCTATTCTTGTACCCCAACCCCCAGATCGGCCCTGCCCTGTGTGCGACCCGGGGAGGCAGGGCAGGCACCTAGGGATCGGGCCTGCCATCTGCCACCCGGGGAGCGGGCCTAAGCCAGCAGGTGGTTATCTCCCGAGGGGTCCCAGACTGTGAGAGAGCACAAGTGGGGCTGAGAGACACCTCCCCTGCCAGTGCACAAATTTTTGTGCACCGGGCCTCTAGTACAGTATGATTCTGGAAGAGTGTCATTATTTAATAGTTATTGAACATCCACATACCCTCTTTATATATGCTGTAACTTAGGACTTGGTTCTTTCTATCACCTCAAAGTTCATGGGGATTTTTCAGAGAATTTTTTTTCTGGTCTCAGTATCAAGAATAGTTGATCTTCTCTTAAGCAATTTTCTTTTTTCCTTTCCTTTTCTTCCTTTTTGTCTTGCATGTGTCAGGAATTGTTTTGGGTAAGTCTTCTCTTTTGAACTTGACGGCTAGAAATCCTGGAGACAAGTTTTCATCCCACTTGTAGCAAGTGTGTTGGACCCTGTGTGGTGCATTTTTGGAAAGCGACTTTCATTTCTGGCTCCGTTCCATATACTTTATCTCCACTGTACATTTTCATGCTTCTTTTGCAGCTTATGCACATAAGCTATTTTGAATACTCTTTTTTCAGGACAAGATGCATATACTAGTAAATATAAGGAAATGTATAAATGACGTTGCGGAAGGAGGCTTTAAGGTCCAAACACTGTGGCTGTAGTTATGGCGTGAGACAATGATACTGCTGTTATCAGGGCAGTCCAGCAGTGATTACAGGGAGTCAGATCTCAGCCCAGTCATAGTTCTCTCTGCTTTTTACTAGTTGTGTAATGGAAGGTGTAGTATTTTCTAAACCTTAATTTTCTTATCTTTAAAATAGTGACCTCTTGGTATTTGGAGGAGATGGGTTAAATGAGGCAATGTATAGCAAGCACTTAGCGAAACGTACTCAACACTAGCTTTCCTTATCATCACTTGGAAGCAATGGCTGGCCACCATACCTGTCCAGGTCTGCTGTCACAAACTTCTCTCCACCCCTCCCCACCCGTGTCCCTCCCCCCACATCTCCTACACCTACAGAGGCCAGGTGGCTGATGCATATCAGGCCCCCAGAGCGCACCTCCACCCGCCGCCTCTTGCACGGTACAGTGCACCTATCTCCAGCCTAGTCTTGCAAAGTGCTACCAAGAAGACACCCAAAGGCGCAGGCTAAAGCAAATCCACAACTTCGTGTAGTTCCTTATCCGGCCCAGCTCTGAGCTCTGCTATATACAAAAGAGGCCTGCAAGAGCACAAGGGGTGCTCAGGAGCCATGCTGAAATGCAGAACGGCAGGGGGCCAGGGAAACAGAGGGAGGGGGTGTTGGGGGAGGGAGAGAGGGTGTTGCCCCGAGAGCCGCTGAGTGAAGCCGGTGCCCTTGGGAGCACACCTGCTGTCCAGCCGCGGCTTTGGTGGGATCCAAGGCACCCGGGGCCTCCCCAGCCCTCCCGCTCCCCTGGACCGCACCAGGGAGCGGTCGGGCTGGGAGAGGTAGATGGCTGGGGCCAAAGGCGAGGGCTGGGAGAGGTGCTGGCCTCCTGGCACAGCCCAGTACTGGGGCAGGATTCAGAAGAGAGCCGTGGCCGCCGCACAGTTCCTACAGCTGATAACATCAGTGGGCGTGGCAGGCGGTGCCGGGGAGAGAGTGCGCGCGCCGGGGACGGCGGGAGGGCGCGCGCACAAAGTTTGTGCCTGCGGGTGCGCGTCGGGCGGCTCGCCCGGCTCCCAGAGCAGCGGGTGGGCGGCCCGAGGGCGGAGAGGCCCGGGGCGAAGGGCCGCGCTGGCAGCGGCAGCGGCCGTGGCGAGGCGATGCGCCCCGCCGAGCCCGTCCCGCCGCGCTAGGTGAAACGTCTCCACGAGCGCGGCCGCGGCCATGGGCACCCTGGGCAAGGCGAGAGAGGCTCCGCGGTGAGTAGGGGCCCAGGCCCTCGGGGGCGCCAACGTCCTTCATCGGGGCGGGGGCCGGGGTGCGGGCAGCCTCCTGAGGCTCTCAGGGGTAGAATATGGGGCGGACGACACGGGAGTCTTCTCTAGAGGAAGTTGCCGGCGACTAATGGGGACGGCAGGCTGAGGTCTCGGCTGATGTCGGGGGAGATGCGCGCTGCGGAGACCAGCGCAAGGGACGGTCGCGCCTGGAGTGCCCAGCCCGTCGCACCGGGAAATGGGGAAGGGAGCTGGGTTGTGCGGCCAGAGTTCGCCCAGCAAGCTCCGGGATTGCAATGACCGGCCTCCTCCCCCAGGTCCTCGCTGCCACGCACCTGGGACTCCCACTCGCGGACTTTCCCGGACGCCCGCACCTGCCGGGGCTCCGGGCTCCGGGCGCGCCACCTGGCGGTCTCTGCCGGCCCTGCAAGTCTCGGGAGGACCCAGAAAGGCCAGCAGGGCTTGCAGCGACGAACAAGCAGAGGTCAGGGGACCATAGCCCCTGGGGGGGGCGGGGGGGAACCTGTATTCCCCTCCACCCCACTGTGACTCTAGAGAGACGTTTTAGGAGGGTCTTGGGGTGCAGAATATGAAGAGTGACAGTGAGTGGAAAAGCTCTTATCAGGAGAAAGAGGCCTGGAAGTGCCAGGCAACTTTGAGTTTGTCCCCCAAAAGGCTGGAATGGGACAGCTGCCTAGACAGGGGCCTGCGCTCAGCGAAGAGCCGGGCACGTTGTGCACTTCCCACCTCCATCCACATGGACTCTGTGTGCCAGCGCCATGCCTAGAGGACGCAGGAAGCTTTGCCCTGCTGGACTTTCTAGAGCTAAAGGTCCTCGGCCCTGTATGCACCTCGCCCTTTATCACGGGGGGTCCGACACTGTACCCCGCACCAGATTGAGGGGAAGGGCCTCAGTACTTTAAATTGAGCCATTTTGGGGGAGCCATTTTGAACAGGACTGGAAGGAACCTCACTAGTAGCCAATAAAAGCCACTTTGCACTGCAAAGAAAGCCGTGGAAGTTTCCATAAAAAGTGACCTCCACTGAGGAAACCTGTGCCTGGAGAGGATTTCATTTGAACCAGTTCTGAGTTTTGACAGTGTCTTTCAGCAAACTTAATAGGGCCTTAGCCAATTTTGGCCTCAGAAACCACCTTAAGTTAATTTGTTTCTCTGGGGATTTTGTTTGTTTGTTTTGTGTTTTGTGTTCTTTTTAATTCACAAGGAAATGGCTACTGTCCTTTAAAGATATGCCTTTTAAGATTAGGGTCTATGTATTCTATGGATTACAACACCTTCAAGACCTGACTGCAGAGAAGTCTTTTATTAATCCTATGTACAGCCATTTCACCCGAAGAGGCAGTTTTGAAAGGTTTGTCACAAAGCAGCCAGTCAAGAAGCTGAGTTCCCCCAGGTCATGGTTCAGATAACCCCCATCTCCCTAGACCTCTCAGGTCACGATTTGGTTTTTAGTAGTTCCTCTCCTCCCCGGTTTCTCATGCCCCAGCCCTCGAGTCTCTCTGGGCTCCATAGTTCCCAGGTTGCATTTTTCACACACACACACACACACACACACACACACACACACACACACACCAATGCTTCAAGCTTTTTCTTTCTACTTGAATCTACCCGAGTCCTTTTTAGTTCCGGTAAAAGCATCTCACCTTGTGAACCAAAGTGGTTTCTGTTACTGCTGACATGAGGAACCATCACTAGAATTAGAACCAGGGCAGTTTTCAGGGTCCTCAATGATCACTGCTACCAACTGAGAGAGAAAGTGGGATTTTCCTGTATCCGCCAGCTGAGAGACTGAGGGAGACACCTCCAGGCCTGAGGGAAGAGCTGTGTGTGGAGGCCCAGCCTCTGGTTGCAGATGCCTCTTCTCCAGGGGTCAGGGAGAGGTACTGGAAGGCCTAAGAGAAAAAGAGGCTGTACTGAGAAGGACTGTATTATTCTCTTTCCCAACTCTGCCTTGGGTGGAGATCTTAATGGTAAAAAGGCAGCCGCTCAGGCAGAAAGCTCACTAATCCCAACAGCAGACAACCAGCCCCAGTTTGAGAGATTGTCAGTGCCTCCTGGAAGGGGAAGGTGCCCGGGTGGGGAGCAAGGCATGGGCACAGGCGGCCTGGCTTCTGCCTGTCTCTGCACCGGTGGCTGGTCCCGTTGCCCTTCTGATCCTGGACCCACACACATCTAGAGAAGGGCTTGGAGGATGTCCATGGAGAACCCACGCAGCCTCTGCTGTGAGGACTGTTCCTGCCACAGGCAGGAGGAGGAGGGCCCAGATTCAGCCTTTGTATTAGCAGCTATGATTTCAGAGGACGTTACTTTTGTCTTAGGTTGAATTGACCTTTCAGCCTCTCGTGCTCATTCTGATGGAGTGAAAAGCACATAGTTCCAGGCACAGCAACTCTTGATTAAGCAAATAGAGCCAGAGAGGCACCCAGTACAAATCCCAGATCTAGCACATGGGAGTTGTACTTGCCCAAGTCGTTTAGCCTCTTTGAGACGCAGTTTCAACATCACGGAATGGAGATAATGTCTCTCTGGGATGTAAGCTTTAAAAACCATGCAGATCCCCAGCATAGTACCTGCCATGTCGTAGGTTCTCAATTCATGCTGGCCACTATTATTTCCTCTCATTTTCAGGTTCTGATCTGCTCCTGGGGCTATCTTAGGCCCTGGGTAAAAATCAGTAATGGCCAGAAGTCCTGTAACACCATCTTTCAGAAATCCCTGCCTCTGGTTAGTACATTCCTAATAGCCAATGACTGGTTCAGTTTCACTGGGACCACCCTCGGTCAGAACAGAGCTCAGCAGCCACTGCCGGCCCAGCATCCTGGAGGGATTTTGAAATGCAGGGTGTTCCCTCCACAGGTCTGGCTGTGCACTGAGTGGCCCCATCGTACAGTAGCCTTTTTTTCACAGGCTGGTTTTCCAAATTCCGTGTATGCCCCAGTGTCTTATTTTGATTTCAACACTTTTTTAGCCCCTCCTGGGTGAGATTTCTTGTCAGAGAAACTTTCCCCAACACTGCAGCTGCAGCTGGTTCTCCCTTCTCTGAGGACAGCACAGCCCTTCCCCTTGCCACTCACAGGACACTTAGGATTGACAGAGCTGTCTTTCCTTGGCCTGGGTCTGATCCTCCAACTAGAGTTTTGTACTGAAAAACTTATAGATAGACGACCTTTAGACAACATCAGCTAACATATAGTGAGTATGATGTACAGTTTACAGCGTGCCATCGCATAGACTGTCCTGCTGGTCTTCTCTGGCCCATCGCGATGTCTTACCCATGGAATAAGCACTTACTGATTAATGGGTGCCCTCCTGTGTTCAGCAAAAAACGTAGGGAGTCGCTAAAGTTATGGATCTGAGGTATATTTCTCTTTCCTTTTTTTCTTGCTTCCTCTTTGTAAACTGTGAAATAAGCAGGCACAGTGGGGAGAGAAGAGTTAACGATATGCTCGAAGAAGTTACAAGTAACAACACCCATCACTAGTGAACCTTCAGAGATGATGGAAACGTGCCTGTGTGTGTTGATGTTTTTTAATGGAAGGGAAAACAAAATGCTTAATTAACCTTCATGTATCATTTTGCAAACAACGTGACTTATACTGAGAGGTCATGATCAAAGGTAAAGCTCTGTGAGAGTGGGCAGAGGTGCCTATAGGCACTCCTAAGCCTTTCCATATCCAGGCGAATTCTTTTGGATTCAGTTCTGGAATGAAGCTCTCATGAGCTCTGCTCCTCCACACCCCACCTCTTCCCCACCCACCAATAGGTAAGGATCCAAGTACAGACTTAATGGAATGGTGTTTAATGATAAAAATGACTCATAATGATTACTTGTATTATCATTCATGAAAGACAGAATCTTAAAACCCACCAAGATTTGTGAGAAAGGCAGGACTAGCTTAAAATCTAAATACCACCACCCTCACCCCTCACCCCTCCTCACCCCCTGCACACGGGTCCTCAGTCTTTGACTTTCCCCGCAAAGTCCTTAAAGATGTTTCCGAGGCCATCTGGGTTTCTGCAGCGTCTCGGGTGTTGTTCAAGATGAATGAGTTTAGCCAAAGATGAGACCACCTGAAACTCAATTCTTAAGACCCAAGTCAGTGGCCTCAAGGCTGAAAGGAAAAAGTATTGCTAGGACCCAGGACTGCCATGGTAGCCCTGCCTCTGCCTCTCCCCTCAGGCAATGGAGACAACAGGGCAAAGCAATCCTAACCCCCAGAGGACAAGCCCTAGATGCAGCCCTGAAATCTCACCTTGTTATTTGCTTGGGAGATGTTTCTTTAACAGCCAACCAGTCCGTTTGGTGCATCTGCCAAGTGGGAGGGGTGTAGCTTCTATCAGCCCAACTCCCAGGATTAATTGTCTTATCTCTAGTCCTTCCTCTCTAATCTGCCTTCAGAGCGTGGAGCTGCCCCTGTGTTCGCCCCCTGGCCGCTCCGCTTGCACTCACTGCCTCCTCTCTTTCCCCAGGAAACCTTCTCATGGCTGCAGAGCTGCCCCTAAAGCAAAACTAGAGGCGAAGCCAGCCAGCAGCCCCTTCCCCTCCCATCCCAGCCTGGCCCAGATCACCCAGTTCCGAATGATGGTGTCTCTGGGACATTTGGCCAAAGGAGCCAGCCTGGACGATCTCATCGATAGCTGCATTCAATCCTTTGGTGAGTTGCCCACATGTATAAAAATCACTCTCTTACTTTGTTCTTCCTTAACAAGTGCTTCATAGAATAGCAACCTAGATTGCATTTTGGCTTTAAAAATAGCTTTTGAGCCTTTGAAATGTTGGGGAGGGTGCGCAGTGCCTGTGGCACCTGACTGTGTGGGTGTATTAGGTCGTGATGAGAGGTGTGATTTAAAGTGAGAAAAGTTACCGAGGAGAGTTTGTATGTTTCTTCGGACGGAGGTTTTTCTCGTGACAAAAGAAATTACATAATGCTGTTGTGCGCCTGGTGCTCTGACTTTTTGTCCTTGTGTTCTTGGGGCACACAAAACCTAGGTTCCATGAGCAGACTCTGTTATCGCACAGAAATGTGAAAGTCTTTGAATCATTTGAACAAAGAAATCTTAATAATTCCCTTTCCAATCTGAATGGTCCTTACAGAGGAATAGGAAGGGATCGGGTAAAGCTGGCATTTCTGTGACTGGAAGATACTGATTAATAAGCATTGCAATTGGGGGTAAGAGGCCTGAGAAGCATACAGACTCACGTTGGCAGTGAATTACCTAAACGCTGTCCTCCGTCATCACCCGTAATCACTGTGAAGGGTGCACACCCTAGTGCAGCTGACAAGCAGTTATCGGCAAAGATGCCCTATTTTTTAAAAATTTTATAAGCACTGTCTTTCTCTTGGTTGTTATTTGTGAAATCGTGATGGGAAAGCACTAAATATTTTCTCCCTTCAAAAAAAGGAATGACTAAAATGCATGGAAAAGTCATAGGTTTCCCCTCTGTGTGCCCCCCCCCCCCCCCCCCGCTTGAGCCCCTCATCTCCCACCATGAAGCAGAGGAGCCATAGTGGCTCAGCTCGCAAGCGCCTGCCCAGCCGGCACCGGGAGCCTCTGGGAGGGGATCACATCCCAGGTAGCACGGCATGCAGATGCCCTGGAACTCAGAGCTGGGATTCCTGGCCGGACTTGTTTAGTGCTTGGCCAGACCTTATTTCTAGAACTGGGAAAGGCTTGACACCAGGAACACTCACTTAGTGCCTTCTATTACAACACTGAAAAGAATAGTTTTGATGATTTCAACACTGTTTAAAGCAAATGTTCTCAACTGTTAGTGCAGAATCACATGGAGGTTTTTTTTTTATAATACATTTGCTCCACCCCTCAAAGTTTCTGCTCCAATGGGCCTGGGGTGTGGCCCATAATTTACATTTCTAACAAGTTCCCAGGCGGCGATGCTGATGCAGCTGATCCAAACAGCCCGCTTTGCTTTTCAACCAGGAAAAGAGGGAGCATTTTTGTTGTTAGTTGGGCCTTAATTTTAATTAAATTTCTATTTGTTTACACTTTAATTTTTCAGTCAGGGATGAAGTCGGGAGCAGAATGAATGGTTTTCCATTTCAAATTAACCTCCTTAGGAAACATGCGTGCGAGGAGAAGCGCGAGGACACAGTGGAGCCTGGAGGAAGCGCCGCTGTGATAAGTTGTTGTGTCGCCTCGCTCCCACTCTAATACGCGGCGGAGAGCCTCACACGGGCCTGGCAGTCGCCGGGCACTGGCCTTTGGCAGGGCACTAAGCCTTCACGCACAAAGCTTTTTATTCTCTTTCCATTTCACTGTTGAAAAAACGGCGACCAGCAATGTATTTATTTATCATGCTTTCTTCCTCCCATGTCAGTCATGCAGCTGCTGGCTGATTATTAACCTTCAGATAATCATGACATCAACCTGAAAAGTACATGACTGATTCTGCAGTCCTTCCCTGAAAGAACCAAGTCCAGTCCACGGCCCTCAACAAGTAGTACATTGTTTTCTAGAATATGTTGAACTGGAAGATGTACCTTAAAATCCCATAGCTGTAAAAATCCCATAGAGCCTGAGCGTCTTTTATGCTTTATCAAGAAGCATTGAAGTCCCTGATTGTGACGCTGTGCTGGGCAGTGCACACGGAGAATGGCAGGGACTGAGCCCCTGTCCCATTATTGGCGCTTAGAATACCTGAGATATACTCTGTTCAGAAAAAAAAGAAAAAGATACAAAACACAGGGCAGTCATAAGCGAAGTGTAGGGAGAATAAATCCTTTATGCCATGTAGAGTTTGAGTCAGTTCACCTCCAAGGGGAGGACATAGATTCGGGAGAGCAGCCAGTGTTTGTTCAAACCCCTCTTGGGGCTGTGGGAATGTTTCAGGAAGGCAGGAAGGTTAAGATCTCAGGGCTTCTCGTATTATATTCTGCAGAGTTTCCTGCCACAGAATTTACATGAAAGGGGCAAAGAAGCAAAGACACCGTATGTCTGGAGAGAACGGGAGACAGCACTTAGCCTGTGATTTTGAGTGGTTGGTTATCAGTTGACGGGTCTAGTTGGGGGAGGGGAGTGAGATTGAGCCGCAGAGGTAAGGGGGGTGGGGATGGGCAGCAGCAGAAGAGCTATGTCCTTGGGCTCCTACCTGTCGGCCTCCTCAGAGGCGATGGGAGAAGGGTGCAGAGTGAGGCTAATGTTTCTCCCTGGTTATTTCTCAGCCTTGGGTAGAAAAGTTGTTTTTATAGGATAAAGTCATCTAGTTTAGCTTTGTGTTAATGAGTTTAAATACCATCTCAGTTTAATATTCGTAAAATATGGAGGGAAATAGTACTGGAGGATTAGGGAAACGTGTTCTTATTTTCTGGTAATCTCTCACTTCAGACCTTGATATTGGCCACTTCTTCCAATGTAAAAAAAAATGTTTGAACATAAAGACTGACTAATGAGTTCATGCATGTTCTACTGCTTTCCCAGCCTCACTTGCATGCAGTTGCTCTGAGGGGTTTTGAATTGGCTAGAGCTGTGCTGTCTCATATGGTGGCCACTAGCCGCACATGGCTGTTTACATAGACAGTTCAATTAATTAAATTATATCAGGTGTGAAATTTAGTTCCTATTTCAAATGCTCAACGGCCACAAGTGGTAGCTGCCTCTGAACAGAATAATAGAAAAATCCCCATCATCGCAGGAAGTCTGTGGGACATGCTGGGCAGAGTAGACAGCCGACTTGGAAGGGAAAAGCAACAGACAAATTTTCTGGAAACTGAGGGATTTGCATTTTCCTAGCATCTCTAGGTAATAGTCTGAGTACTCCCTGAGGCCTCATGTGCACTTGGCAGTCTTTACTGGTGGCTCTGTCTTGAGTGATATTGGCCACTAGTTACCACCCACACTGTTCTCAGAGGAAGGACTTACTACAATACTTCTAAGAATGAATGATCAGCCTTGGCCCGTTTGGCTCAGTGGGTAGAGGATCTGCCCGTGGACTGATGGGACCTGGGTTTGATTCCGGTCAAGGGCACGTACCTCGGTTGTAGGCTCCATCTGTGTGTGTGGGAGACAACCCATCAATGTGTCTTTCTCAAATCGGTGTTTCTCTCTGTCTGTTTCTCTCTCTCACCCTCCCAGGCTCTCTAAAAATCAATGGAAAAATATCCTCTGGGTGAGGATTAAATAAATAAATAAGTAAATAAATAATAAATAAATAAATAAATAAATAAATAGTTAAAAAAGGAACGGGTGATCAGCACCCACAAAGTAAGCATCCTCATGCAGGCCTCAAGCAAGCCTCCCAGGGTCACGTACAAGCTTACAGATGTGGGATTAGAAACTCAGAACCTTGAGTCAGTCCGTTGCTTTGCCACGAAGCAACCACCCCCACCTTCTGTTTCAATCACAGGCCATGCGTTACATTCTCAGCGTATTATGGGGAGTTAATCCACTCTTCAGCTGAGCACAATGAGGCGAATCATCACAACCTGGAACATTGATGTCAGATGCATGTGAGTCACACCCTCTGTTTCAGAGGTAGAAAAGACTGACAAAAGCATCTGGGCTTTTTAAAACGTTTTTCACTTCGTAGGAGGGCTGCCAGCATTGGGGACCAAGTGGAAGGCTTCAGACATCCAAACTCCCAAAGCTCTTCTCTTGTCCTTTTCTGAAAGCAAGACAACTCCTGACAGCATCAGAAAGAAGGCTGCAAACACATCCCAGAAAGGGACCCTCCGGAGGCAGCTCTGCTGCTCTCCGCTGGGGTGTGGGAGGAAGCTGCAGGTCTTTGTCTTACCTGTCAGTGTAAGGGGGCAACGCAGCTTAGCCTACTATCTTACATTTAGAACTAGAGGCCCAATGCACAAATTTCGTACAAGGGTAGGCCTTCGCAGCCCCAGCCACCTCCCTTGTAGCCCCGGCCACCTCAGCCGGCCCCCCAACCCCAGCTTTGTCCAGAAGTTCCTTCCGCTGTTTGACCGTTTGGTCAATTTGCATATTATGCTTTTATTATTATAGGTCAGTGACGGCGAACCTTTTGAGCTCGGCGTGTCAGCATTTTGAAAAACCCTAACTTAACTCTGGTGCCGTGTCACATATAGAAATTTTTTGATATTTGCAACCATAGTAAAACAAAGACTTATATTTTTGATATTTATTTTACATATTTAAATGCCCTTTAACAAAGAAAAAATCAACCAAAAATATGAGTTCGCGTGTCACCTCTGACACGCGTGTCATAGGTTCGCCATCACTGTTATAGATGTTGATTTTTTTTTTTCTTGGAGTCCCATATGTATTGATTTCTTTTAAACTCAAACCAACGCTGAAAAAGGCAGGTCAGCTATTATTGTCTCCATTGGACAAATGAGAACATAAATTGAGCCTCATGCCCCCAATCTAAGGAGAAAACATGCTACTCACGTGCCCCTTCCTCTGCCCCCAGCAGCCCCTTGGCCCCTGGCTGAGGCAGGCTCAGGTCCCTCTCCTAGAACAGGTTCCCTTCGCTCAGGGGGGCCCACAGGCCACACAGGGCAGGCCTGTGTCCTGGCCCGCATCCTCCCCCAGACTGGAAATTAAACTCCATGAAATATAAGAACTTTATGTTGGACGCCATCTTCATAACAGGTGTCTGCCTGACATTTTCTCTTGAACAAAGTGTCAATTGATTAAAATTACCGTGTGCCTTATATTAATGCTATCC